CTCAGTGCTGATAAATTGGAAATCTGATCTGATGTACCTGTATTCTAAAAACGAGTCAGCACTACAAAATTAAACGTAGAATAATAATAATAATAATAGTATTGGCTGTTTGTGCCAGGGTTAGACGACACCACAATACATTGTTTTCACCGGATTTATCAGTAGTTAACCAGCCAGCCACAAAATTCAAAAGATCATGCTAAAAGCACTTGTGTTTAGGATGCCTGACCACCTACAGACAGGAAATCGATTTAATTCCCTAAACCCAAAAGTGCAGCACACTTAGCATGTAAAAATGAAAACAAAAAAGATAAAAAATAAATTATTGATAAATAATTGAATTTTTTTTAAATCATATTTTCCCCCAGCTTTTTTGAACACAACATTGCAAGTATTTCACGTAACCACTGGCCCTCATGTAATTGTTTGTTAGCAAACCTGTTTCTGTGTGAGCTAACTTAGTTTTAAACTGTTTTCCATTGCAGATGTTTACATTGGAACTGGCAGGTACTTGTCCAACGATTTTGCAATAAGACTACTTCTGGAGGATTGACAGAATGTCATGTTTGTACCTTGGCGTATCTTGTCATTTTGCTTTGACACTATATTATATGACTAGAATGTTTTGGCTTGCTTTTAAAGTGGAAGTTTCTTTACTGACTGACCCATGGCAAGATGAATTCAGTATTTTTGCTGTTCTCCTAACGTCATCGGTTCGATTTAGTGATTGGCTGCTTTCATACCGCTGTCATGTTTCTCAGTAATAGCATAACAGAAAAAATATATAGTCTAAAGATATAGTTTTTACAGAAAATGACACAAATCACAATGTTTTCACATTAACATAATTACATTTTACATTTTAAAGGATCAGCTCCAAATTGAAGCCTAATTTATGACTTTATTATTCCATAGCCATCGATCGTGGTTGTTATAGTTCAATTGCTATGAAGTAAAATCAAGTTAACTGTTTGTTTTTTTTTCTTTGAATATGTAACATTTTCTGTAGTTTTCACATAATTTGTTACTTTATTAAAACACAAGTTAGATGAATAAATTATGTAAATAATTGTGGCCAGTCTTATTAGGCGACTTCCCATTATGGTATTCTTCCTGGTCCACACCCCTGGTCCTTCTGTCAGTGTTGGATATTTTTAGTAAAACCAGTCGAGACACATTTATTACAGCTGCAACATTTCTCACCACATTGAAATCTGACATCTCAGTGCAGTGTTTATATGCTCACCATACTGCCTTATCTCTGTGCATACGATACGACCTAAAATCAGAACAAAACTATAGTGATTCTATTTTTATCTTCTTGCCTCCATGACCTTGGGGGTAGTTTATTGTGGACAGTCATTTTTTTTCACATTTACAAAAGTTGAGAACTTGTTTAGAGGTGTCACACAATCACTCTCACACTATTATAAGCTCAAACATCTCCCTGATCACATGATGAGCACCATGTCAAAAGTAATTATGTCACGGTGGCATCCTCTGATGCAACATTTCTGCAATGTGATCTGAATCTCCCTTACTCACTTTCCAAAATTACTGAAACGAAAGTAAAATAAAATAAATACGGGTTCTATAAGACCTCGCATTTAGATATTTTTAGGTCAAATCACATTTTTGTCTAGTGCCATTATATAAATCTACATTGCCTTCAACACAAAATGATGATTAAAGTAATTTTTTTCTGCACAGGGCCATCTTTCAATGGTTGCCATCTTTTTTTTAGGACATTGACCTGATTGACATCCTGTGGAGACAGGACATTGACCTTGGTGCAGGAAGAGAAGTGTTCAACTACAGCAACCGCCAGAAGGAGAGTGAGGAGGAAAAGCCCAACCTACAGGAGAACAAAGATAGAAAGGAGGAACAAGAACGCTGGAGGAATGGAGTCAACCTACATGGACCTCAGCCAGTAGATGGAGAGACTGGAGAAAGTATTCCAGAACAGGTACACTTGATAGTTTCTCATGTTCAGTTGTTGGTGTCCAGTAAAATGTGGTACACTAAACTGCATTGTGATGCATGAAAACAGCTTGTTCCAGTGTCCAGTTCCCATTTCATTTGCTTCCTTCAATATCCTGCATCATCTGATATCCTCTACTGAACATAAAACACTTGTTTGTCCTAGATTGCCCATCCTTGCATTTAGCAACACACAAATCGTGATCATTAGATGGTAATTGTCAAAGTGAGTTGTAGTCCTGCAGGTGTAAATGCAGGAAGAAGTTGGTTGAGTTTTGCCTGCATGGTTTGGATGCCTTTAAACAAAGGTCTTGTGGAAATTGTGTCAAAAAGGATGCACTAATAGAGTTTCTAGATGATGTATGTGGTAGGAACATGTTAACATCTGATGACTATGAAAGACCTTTTGTTTTGTAGCTCTTTAAATTGTATCTTGTTTGTTGGGAAAAAAATCTAGTCAGCACAATTCAAACCACATCTCTAAAGGCATTTTGAAATAAGCAGCACTTTATCTAATCCTGTACGTGCAATATTTTCAGCTTCCTGCGCTTGGTTCCCAGACATCACTGTCTTTACAAGAATGTTTGAGACTGCTGGAGGCCACATTTCCTTTTGGAGAGGAATCTGAGGTAAACAAAAAAACTGATATTTCATGGAAACTATTAGTAAACTATGAAGAGTTAGAAAAAAATATTGTAACATAATTAATGTTTTATGTCTGTTGTTCTTTCTTTTCATCAGTTTTCAGCCCCAGTTGTCACCCCAGAAGTCAGAGTTTCCAATGAAGAAGCTCCTTCTACATCTCAGGGCCTTCCTCTGGCACCACTGCTGCCCCCAGCAGAGCCTCAGTTAGACCTGGAGCAGCAGTGGCAGGATATCATGGCCATCATGGAGCTGCAAGTATGTGCTGCTTTTTTTAATTTTAAATCCAGTGAAGTAGGATTACTTGAGACTATATGTAACTAATAAAACAATAAACCTATATAATAATAAATAAAAAAACAACAACTTGGCACTAGGCAGTGGAAAAAATATCCTAATGATTGACTCTGCTTTACAATTCATAAAATATGTCCTTCTTTCCTTTAACTAAGTCTTCTTTTTTTAAGGCAATGGATGTGAACAACAGTTCTCTCAATACTGGCTCTGCCACTGTTAGAGAGACAACAAGGACAACTGAGAACAACCACGTTGGAAGCTTTGGAGTTTCTTCCCGCCCAACACCAATAAACCAGGATGTTAGCCTCCACCAAGCCTCTCTGCCCAGCTGCAGCCAGGACTTCCCCCAGATTTTCAATCCCCAGATGGACTCTGCGAACATCCCACCAAGAATGACCATGCTTAGACTTTCTTCGAGCAACTCCTCGAATGTCAACTCTACTTTTGGATCAACCAACTTGACTGGAATTCTTTTCCCACCACACATAAACAGTTCTAGCAACAACGTCACTTCAACACC